CGAGCAAATGTTCTCTTGTGCCTTTTCTTTGTACTTAGGTCTGGATACACAATGAACAACACCAGCCCTGACAATATACATTTGTTTATTGGAGTTCCGTGGATGGTTGTATACATCTGTGAAGCAGTATTGATACTCGCTGGAAACTCCATCACTGTTTACATCTTCTGTAGCATTCGCAAACGACTGAAGCGCACCAGCTATCTTCTCATCAGTCTTGCAGTTGCTGACATCTTAGTGGGAATATCAATCACCTTTTGGCTGTGGGATGGTATTGCATTGATGATGGAAAGAGAACTAAGTAGCATTGTTGGGAAAACAGCAATGATCGTTGATCTTATTGGAACAATGTCTTCGATACTATCATTGGTGTTAATTTCTTTGGAGAGAATGTTCGCAATTTTGTGGCCATTTCGCCATAGAACAGTAAACACTTGGTGCTACCGCACGTCTATCGGAATCGTTTGGTCTGCAGCTTCCTTACTAGCAACATTAAACGCATGCTTTGACCTCTACAGCATAAAAAGTGACAATGAATTAAGTTATTTGATGGCTTTGACAGTTATCTGCCCAGTCCTAATCGTTACTGGCGCGTATCTGGCGATTTGGTTCTCAACGAGACGTAACCGGATTCGCAACAATACTTGCAGGTCTATGGAGCAAAATAGAAAGCTTGCGAAGACACTTTTTATCGTGACCGCTTTGTCAATCATTACCTTTCTGCCTGTTGGAATCTGTATTGCCCTTGGAGACTTCCTACAACATTCGTATTCATTCCGGGTGCAAATCGCCATAATAGTACAATACGCAAATTCGTTTATGAATCCAGTTGTTTACTGTTTTAAGATGCCCGAGTTTAAGGAATCGTTAAAAAAGCTAAACTGTAGTTCTCCACGGCAACGTCTCTCGTTAAATGAAAATTTATCAGAGGCAACCGTAGGAGTTACTTTGAGATCCTTTAAGAATATCGACTGAGACACTTTAAATATCCTTACTTTAAAAACAACAAACAGTCGCCAATGCATGTAATATCTAAGGGCCTCCTCCACAGACTGGGCCAATTGTTATCGATAACTGTTTAGTTGTCGATCATAAAAAGTTGTCGATAACAACCAGTGTGTGAAGCTAGTTATCGATAACTGAGGCCCTTAGTTATCGACAACTAGCTTCACACACTGGCTTTTTTATTATCGACGACTTTTTATGATCGACAACAAAATAGTTGTCGACAACTATCTCTCTAGTCTGTGTAAGCCCTAAGTAATAACTTTTTTGAATACAAATACATACAATGGACGTGCACACAGACACTGACTTACGTTGTACATGTACGTTGTAAGAATTAAATGACTTACAGGATCCATAGAGAATTAGATGCGTGCATATATAGGGAATATATGATAAAATTAATCTGAGACTACCAGTGGAATATTTTGAGATCGTTAAAGCCCGTCGAGACTTTCTAATTACATAATGTTGCATATTTACTTCCTTTCGTTGATATTTCAGTATTGTGGAAATTAAAAATTCGGATAGGAATTTTTCAACTTTTGTCATATTTCCAGTCGAAGACCACCGTCGCCTGCTCCCAAAGTATCAAGGCTTCATAGCTGACCTGATACAGCATCGCACCGAAAACGCGAAGGTCATGGGTTCAAATCACGTTGTAGCCTTTAATTTTTTTCATGATATATAAATAAATAAAAACAACATGATGATGACTTTTTAGTCGAAAACGTTTCTCATTTTAGCACTTTTATTATTTATTTTAGCCTTCAACCTTTTGGGCTTTAAATGCAGTGCGTCCATGCAATCTCATTCCACATTGTGTAATAAATGATATGTAATGGGAAACTGTGAATAAAAGTGTGTGAAAAAAACCTTGTCTAACTAATAAATGTATTACTAAAAAAGGGGTTAGTGATTGAAACTCACCGCTTTACCAATGAAAATTGGTTTCAGTGTTGATTTAAAAAAAAAGGGTTCAGACAAGATGTTGTCAATGTCGTTATGTCTCCAGCCGAGGGCAAACGATTCTAAAACAATGTAAATAGTAAATAAACTGCCTGATGCAAATTTTTAAAAAGCTTTCCTGTCGGGGAGACAAGACTGATAAGTAACCCATGCCAAACGTCACTACACTTGTGGAACTGATTGACACAATTGCAACCTAAATTTAATTAATGAAATTAATTTGATTATGACCAAACAATATATTGGAATAAGTAAAAAAAGGCGGATAAAGCGCGCGGTATATAGCAGATAAAATCTATTGCCCGCGTTTATCAGGCCCGACAGTTAGTGGACCGCGTCTCGATTTTAATATGTTTCCAGCTGATGTACATTACTAAAACTGCTGATTGTTCTTAAGCAGTTAAATTAAAAGTGCGGCTAAACAATGAACACACCGTCGTTTACTGATAACAATATTTCCCATGCCTTTCTCTGTTGCTACGCAGGCTTCTGTTGGGAGTGCATTACTATCAGCAGTCTACTGGCTGCTTTTAACAAACGTATCAACCGAGCAACGAAACAAAACATGACTTAGGGCCTCCACAGACAAGAGAGATAGTTGTCGACAACTATTTAGTTTTCGATGATAAAAGGTTGTCGATAACAAAAAAGCCAGTGTGTTAAGCTAGTTATCGATAACTAAGGCCCTTAGTTGTCGATAACTAGCTTCACACACTGGCTTTTTTGTTATCGACAACTTTTTATCATCAACAACTAAATAGTTATCGATAACAATTGGCCGAGTGTGTGGAGGCCTTTAATGAGTTTCATTGGAAATTAGCTATCCGAATGTTTCCAAGTGCCATATCAGAATCCGAAAATGTAAATAAACCATCATATTTTTTTTTTTACCAACTCAAGATGGGTATTGAAATAAAAAAACAGTCCAAAAGGTTTGTTTTTACATTGTAGCACAGAGCAAAAAACAGACGATTGATATTTTATATAAAGCTCGTGTAGCGTTTAATTACTTTTAAGGTTTATTCGCAATAGTGTTTTGAAAAGTGAGTTGCTGATAGCTAATTAATATTCAAATAAGTTCAAGAAGAATATCGAGCAAAGACAGATAAATTTAATCTGAGACAAAAATCCGGTAAGTCACCTGCCGTTCAGTCGTGATACTGTTGGTAAGAAAATGGAATCGATTCAGGTTTAACTTTATTTGGGCCTCATCTAAATGGCGTCAATAGCCTTCTATCTATGCACCATTGATATAAAACAGTCGAGCAAATGTTCTCTTGTGTCTTTTCTTTGTACTTAGGTCTGGATACACAATGAACAACACCAGCCCTGACAATATACATTTGTTTATTGGAGTTCCGTGGATGGTTGTATACATCTGTGAAGCAGTATTGATACTCGCTGGAAACTCCATCACTGTTTACATCTTCTGTAGCATTCGCAAACGACTGAAGCGCACCAGCTATCTTCTCATCAGTCTTGCAGTTGCTGACATCTTAGTGGGAATATCAATCACATTTTGGCTATGGGATGGTATTGCAGTGATGATGGGAAGAGAACTTAGTAGCATTGTTGGAAAAACAGCCGTGATCGTTGATCTTATTGGATCAATGTCTTCGATACTATCATTGGTGTTAATTTCTTTGGAGAGAATGTTCGCAATTTTGTGGCCATTTCGCCACAGAACTGTAAACACATGGTGCTACCGCACTTCTGTCGGAATCGTTTGGTTTGCAGCTTCCTTAATAGCAACATTAAACGAACGCTTTGACCTCTATAGCATAAAAAGTGACAATGAATTAAGTTATTTGATGGCTTTGACAGTTATCTGCCCGGTTCTCATCATTACTGGCGCGTATCTGGCGATTTGGATCTCAACGAGACGTATCCGGATTCGCAACAATACTTGCAGGTCTATGGAACAAAACAGAAAGCTAGCCAAGACTCTATTTATCGTGACCGCTTTTTCAATCATTACATGTCTGCCTTCTGGAATCGGTATTGTTCTTGGAGACTACCAGCAGCATATGTATTCATTCAGGATGTATATCAGTTTTGCAGCACAATACGCAAATTCGTTTCTGAATCCAGTTGTTTACTGTTTCAAGATGCCCGAGTTTAAGGAATCTCTAGAAAAGCTGCTTTGTAGTTGTCCACGACAACGGATCTCGTTAAATGAAAATTTATCAGAGGAAACCAATGGAGTTACTTTAAGATCCTTTAAGAATATCGAGACACGTTAATTACCTCTCCTTACCCGGGCAATGACAGTAATACCAAAGTAAAGAAAGGAGTGGCTTCCATAGAGAATATATGGAGAAACTTCGCCACAGACTACAAGTGGAACTACTCTGAGATCGTTAAACGGCTGTCGAGACTTTTTAATTACACAATCATATTAATAGGCTTTGGCATCCATTTCAGTATTGTGGAACTGACTTGCCTCACCAAAAATGAGTTTGTGTCGAATGTTTCAAATTTTTGTCATATTACCTGTCGAAGACCACCGACGTAATAAAAATGTTTAATTTAGGAAATAACTGGTTTAATAAATTCCATAGGTTTGGTTGCCATAAAATGTGTTAGTGACATTCATCTTCGAAGAAAATTCAGAGTATCGGTGTTTATAATACAGGTTAAGAAATTTATGAAAGGTGATTGGTTAAAATGGGCTGTCATCATTTGGAATACTGGAACAGCTACATGTAGAAATAAATCACCATAATAGTATAATACGCAAATTCGTTTCTGAATCTAGTTCTTTACTGAGTCTGTCGTTAAACGAAAATTCAGGCAACCAATGGCATTACTTTGAGATGCTTGAAGTCCTTGAAGAATATCGAGCCATTTTAATTCCTATGACTTACATCAGAATAACTGCAGTAATACCTAAAGCATGGTTTACACGTACAACGCAAATACTAATATTTCAGTATTGTGGAAATTAAAAATTCAGATAGGAATTTTTCCAACTTGTGTCATTATTTCAAGTCGAAGACCACCGTCACCTGCTCCCAAAGTATCAAGGCTTCATAGCTGAGTGGGTAGAGCATCGCACCGAAAACGCGAAGGTCATGGGTTCAAATCACGTTGTAGCCTTTAATTTTTTTCAGTATAAATAAAAATAAATTGCTTACACACTGTGAGGATCATTTCAATCATTTCGTCGTAATATTACGAAATTAATTGTTTCAATAAATTTCAAAGGTTTGGTTCCCATAAAATGGGTTACTGACATTCACCTTCAAAGAAAATTCACAGTATCAGTGTTAATTAAGTAATTACCATGCAGACTCTCACTGCTTGAGCATATAAGCTCTTTTACAAAACACCACGATGATGAATTTTTAGTCGAAAACGTTCCTCGTTTTAGGACCTTTTTGCACTTTTAGTATATATTTTAGCCTTCAACCTTTTGTAGCGATACAATGAATACTATGCCTTGTCGTCCATAAAATCTCATTCCAAATTGTCTAATAAATGTGTTACTAAAAACGTGTTACCGACTAAAACTCACTCACTTTACCAAAGAAAATTTCCATACGTGTTAATTTAAAAAAATGGTTCAGACAAGATGTTGTCAATGTCGTTATGTCTCCAGCCGAGGACAAACGATTCTAAAACAATGTATCAATGTAAATAGTAAAGAAACTGCCTGATGCAAATTTAAAAGGTTTCCTGTTGAGGAGACAAGACTGAGAAGTAACCCGTACCACTGCACTTATGGAACATAAATAATATTGATATTATTTTCAATCGTCGAGTCCCTAGTTTGATTTACTGCTTTCGTGTAAGATTGGAGAAATTTTCAAACACGCTAATTTTCTACGGTTTTCAACTTCTCAGATGAAATTAATTTGATTGTGACCAAACAATGTATTTGTAATAAGTCAAAAAGGCGGATAAAGCGCGCGGTATATAGGAGATCAAATCTATTGCCCGCGTTTATCAGGCCCGACAGTTAGTGACCGCGTCTCTATTTCAATCTGTTTCCAGTTTATTGACATTATTAAAACTGCTGATTGTTTTTAAGCGGTTAAATTAAAAGTGCGACTAACCAATGAACACACCGTCGTTTACTGAAAACAATCATGATTTCCCATGCCTTTCTCTGTTGGGAGTGCAGCTGTAACAAGTTATCAACCCAGCAACGAACCCGCAAATCATGACCTGAATATGTTTCATGGAAAATTAGGTGTCCGAATGTTTCCAAGAAAGTGCCATATCAGAAAATGTAAATTCATAATGCGTTCTGAACAAAAAAAACTTCCGAAAGGTTTGTTTTTAGTGCAAAGCGGCGAAAACCAGCCATTAATATTTTATAAGCTCGTATAGTGTTTCAATTATTTCTTTTTTAAAGGTTCATACGAACTAATTGAAGTTCAAGAACAATATCGAGAAACTGGATAGAGAAAATAATTTAATTTGAGACAAAAATCCGGTAAGTCTCCTGCCGTTCAGTCGTAATCATCACACTGTTGGTAAGAAAATGGAATCGAAACAAACTGATTTATTTGGGCCTCATCCGCTAAATGGCGTCAATAGTCTTCTCTTTATGCACCATTGATATAAAACAGTCGAGCAAATGTTCTCTTGTGCCTTTTGAATGTACTTAGGTCTGAATACACAATGAACAACACAAGCCCTGGCAATATACATTTGTTTATTGGAGTTCCGTGGATGGTTGTATACATCTGTGAAGCGATTTTCATACTCGCTGGAAACTCTATCACAGTTTACATTTTCTGGAGCATTCGCAAACGTCTGAAACGCACTAGCTATCTTCTCATCAATCTTGCAGTCGCTGACATCTTGGTGGGAATAGCAATCACCTTTTGGCTGTGGGATGGTATTGCAGCGATGATGGGAAGAGAACTTAGTAGCACTGCTAGTAAAACAGCCGTGATCGTGGATGCTGTTGGAGTAGTATCTTCGTTATTATCATTGGTTTTGATTTCTTTGGACAGAATGTTTGCAATTTTGTGGCCATTTCGCCATAGAACTGTAAATACGTGGTGCTACCACGTTTCCGTCGCAATCGTTTGGTTTGTAGCTTTCTTAACCGCAACAGTAGACGTAAGCATGGACCTCTATTACACAAAACGTGACCATGGATTAAATTATTTGGTGGCTTTCTTGATAATAAGTGCAGTCCTAATCATTACTGGCGCGTATCTGGCGATCTGGATCTCAACGAGACTTAACCGGATTCGCAAAAATACTTCCAGGTCCATGGAACAAAATAGAAAGCTAGCCAAGACTCTATTTATCGTGACCGCTTTGTCAATCATCACCTGTCTGCCTTCTGGAATCAGTCTTGCCCTTAATAGAGATTATCTGAATAATTTGTATTCATTCAGGGTGCAAATCACTTTTGCAGCACAATACGCAAATTCGTTTCTGAATCCAGTTGTTTACTGTTTCAAGATGCCCGAGTTTAAGGAAAAGCTGCTTTGTAGTTGTCCACGGCAACGGCTCTCGATAAATGAAACTAATCTATCTGAGGCAGCTGGAGTTACTTTGAGATCCTTGAAGAATATCGAGACACTTTAATTACATCTACTTAAACAACAAACACTTATCATACCCAATGACAGTAATATTAAAGTCATCAAAGTAAAGAAATAAGAGGCTTCCATAGAGAATATATAGAGAAAATTCGCCAGACTCTGAGATCGTTAACGGCCGTCCAGACTTTCTAATTTCACAAGCATATTAATAAGCTTTGACATCCATTTCAGCCTGCGTCGCAGACGGACTTGACCGCCGGTAATGTCATGGGCTACATTCATTTCAGTGTTGCGTACGCTTATTCTTGCTTCGTACGTGTAAACCAGGCGTAATACGACGCTCGCAGGCCACGCGAAGCTCGAGATGGGTACACCAGGACAGAACTCAAAGTCGAATAAGTGGAACGGTTATAGAAATTGAAAGAATAAAATAAAATGTTTAAGAAGACCAACGTGTACTCCGCGATTCGGGTAACAAGGAGCCTAGCACAACGTTTTTCTCCCGATCTTAAGGTCACTGTTCTCGATTGTACTGTTAAGTCTGATAACACTGAATACCGGCAGCCATTCAAAAATATCCAGTATAATAAGATAACAGCTAGGCATACAGTTAAAACCCGCGTATAAGCAGGGGCGTAGCTACCATATACGCACGTACGCACGGGCGTACAGCTGAAATCTGAAAAAATATATATTTATATTGCCTGAAAGCGTTTTATCATTAAATTGGCTGGTTTGATAAATTTTCGTATTATAAGTTATGCGACTTTATGTTAAACTTAATGGAAGAAACACTGTGAATTGTGAATGTCAAAAAACGCGTCTCGTAAAACGCAGGAAATGGCATTTCCGAGACCCTAGATTTCAAAATTTTCTGGGGGGGCATGCCCCCAAACCCCCCTAGCATAACACGTCTTCGGCGCTTTAATTTGTCTATTGGTGCGTACAGGTCAAAAATCGCACACTACGCCCCTGATAAGAACCCCTATTTTCCAAGACAGGCTGTAATGGTTCTTATATATTGAATGTCTAGTGAGAAAACTGAAATCAGGCTGTTTAGGTTCTTAAATGAATAGCTTCTTATTTTTGACAGGGTAAATACAAATGTACTGCTTTGCTGCTGGAAATAGAGGTAGTTTACTATGGCTGTAGTGTGTAATGTATTTAATCAGTAGATAGGCATATCACATTTAAACCGTGTACATCGTGATTATTATGGACCTACAAAGCACATTTTTGTCTAAAGGCCGTGGCAAACGAGGAAACATTGTTGCGGAAACATTGTTGCGGACGCAAATGTTTCCCCGTTTTCCCGATCGGGCAGCAAAACAATGTTTTGCTTCCTTGCTGCGCAAACGAAGAAACATTTTACGGGAAACAAATGCTGCGAACACGCGATATTATGCGCGCGCAATGCAAAAGAAGCCTTGGAATCTAGTCAACATTGTTTCCTTCGCGAGCAAACGGGGACACATTTGTTGCGGACGCAAAATGTTTCTGAAAGAATTCAGAAACATTTTTTGCGTCTCGGACGCAAAATTTGCGTCCACAACAAATGTTTCCTGCGCCGGCAAACGGGGAAACATTTGCGTCCGCAACAATGCTTCCGCAACAATGTTTCCTTGTTTGCCACGGCCTTAAAGGGGCACTGTCACGGATTCGCATGCGCGAAAACTGCTCACTTCCTGTCGACCATAAATTATTTGGCCGCCATTCCATAATGACGGTTAGTGAAAATATTTGCATGTATTTTGTTTCTAATCACGATTATGTAAAACAGATAAAGTCATAATATTACTGTAACAGCGTGCGCTGTTCGCATACGTATTTCCGAAACATGATTTGCATACAAAATATTTTTGCAACGGCCGTAACGCAACGCACTTTTGACAGCCAAGCTTAGATTTATCCATTTGTACAGAAGTTTTCAACGGATAACCGTTGCCGTTGGAACGGCCGCTCAATATTTTTTTCTCAACGGATTACCTGGCTTAGCTTCGAACGGGTGAAGATTTTTTTCTGAACGGGTAGCAGCAGCCGTTGGAACGGCTGAAGATTTTTTTCGAACGGGTAGCGGCAGCAGTTCGAACATTTTTTTCGAACGGGTAGTAGCAGCCGTTCGGCTTGCTAACCGTTCCGGTAGTGAACGGCTTTTAGCCTTTCGAACGGAAAGCCGTGTTGTACGTTTTCGCGTGAGAGGTCACAGCTGAGGTCACATCTGTTTCGATCACTCGTCTCCTCAACAACAAATGTGTCGCGAAGACAGTATCTTATCACTGTATCCTTCGTAACCTGCAACGAATTTCGCTTCAAGCCATGTTTTGAAACTGTTATCTTCAAGATAAATGCGTTTATGGGGTTTTGTCCACGCTCTCTTGGCTCTTGTCGGGGTATTGAATATTCCTTTTCGCCCAGAATGACTACGCTTTCCACCGTGCCGCCGCCGCCACTAGTCGACGCCATTTTGGATTTGGCAACTCAAACTTGAAAAAGTTAGCCTAACCTTTTCAAGTTCGACTCGCGAGACTGGCGCATGCGTCCTTGTGACAGTGCCCCTTTAATTTATTAATTTTTCCAAATGAGAACCTG